CCTCCATGTGTCCACTTGATTTTTCCAGTGAGTAAAACTAAATAAGCAAACACACAATCGCTGTATCTCACGGTTCAACCTGAGGGGGCTGAAACTTGGCACAGCTTTGAAAAACGTGGAGCTCCACAGAGTCCTGACGTAAAGTTATTAACACGCACGCCCTGAACGACACTGCAGGCTAACAGCAGTGTTTATGATGCTGCTCCTTTAGCGTCACCCATCTTCCACCTGACAGCGAGGTAACTGAAATCACTGTGTGTGTGTGTGTGTGTGTGTGTGTGTGTGTGTGTGTGTGTACCTGCAGAGAAGATGGCTGGTACTGTAGCACACTCAGGCGGGCTGAAGTTGGAGTACATGTCCTCGATTTCGTCGCAGAATCGCACGGCGACACAGTACCGCCTGCCGGGCTCCAAACGATCCCACTTATAGCTCTTCAGAGACTCAGTCTTGATGAACTGCACACACAGGCACAGATTATCAGCACAGGAGGCGTCCTGCTCACACAGACTCCGACTGACACAGCAGCAGGTCTCTCACGTGACGCCTGCTCTTAGCCTACAGACTTTTTACATTTAGCAAAATATTTAAACATTTATCATAAATCAGAGTGGACTCATGACTGACTTCAAACCGTTGAAAGCCGTGGGCCACACTTTCTGTCCCAGAGGTTCAGGAGTACGTCACTGCCATAAAGATCCACTCAGAGCTAACAGATGAAAGCAGGAAGTAAACTTGTTTCTAACGCTTCGAGCCAGCGCTCAGGTATCACCACGGTTACTGTGCGAGGTACGCTCTTATGCTCATCGGCAGCTGGTGAGGACGCTCGGCGAGCATCATTTCAGAGACATGTAATAACAGTGGGACAGAATTCCACAGCTGGATCACCATGGAAACATTAATGGAAGCGGCGGACACGGAGAGTAAGCGGAAAAATAACCACAGCTACACAAAGTGGGCAGGTCCAGAGTGGAGTTAGTGTTGTGTGATTTGAAAGGTAACTCGCAGTCCCGTGTCAGGCCTGTAGGCCAGGCTCCTCCCTCCTTATACTTTGCTTGAGTTGACATTTGACCCTCGCCGTCTTTGCCGTTTATTTGCGGAGGTGAAACTCAAACCGGGGGTTCTGATTGGTCTCCCTCTCTCATGTACCTCCATCTTATCCGGGTTGCTGCTGATCCGGAGCTCGTAATGGAGAATGTCGTAGCTCTGCCTGAGGCGCTCCAGCGGAGGGTGAAGATCCACGCTCAGGCTTCTGTCGCTGGGCGCCACGCTAAGCAGCGGCAGGCTCAGGTGTTCTGCAGAAATCAGAAACAACGCATGACGCACACACACGGCTCAGAGGGCTGAAAATAACAAACTCGTGGCGTCTCCGGAGCTGAAGACTCGACACTCACTGATGGGTTTGAATGGGACCTCGGTCTCGTTCGGGTCTCCAAAGACCTGGCCTCCCAGCTGAGCTCCAACCCTTGTTAAGTACGTCTCCGTTAGGACGGAGAACGCCGCCGTCAAGTCACAAAACAGAGGCTTCTGCACACGCTCACAGCCGGCCACCGGGTTCCAGCTATGTTTCCTTTCATGACCAGAGAGGAGAGAAACATCAGATCTCAGAGGAAGTGTTCGTGATCACCTGAGCCAATATGTGCCAGAAACATGTCAGAACTCCTCTGAAGACAACGCAGACTATCATCAGGGTACCAACCAGGTGACATCAGCACACCTGCAGCTGTCAGTGTGTGAAGGTAAACCCACCTCTCAGATTTGTATTCAACGTTATAGTAGACCCCTGGAGGTGTGCCTGGTCCCGCCTCCCATTTCAGTATATAACTGAAGTTGAGTGATGTCAGGGAGATGTTGACGGGCTTTGGGAGGGTACCTACAGCTGGAACACAGACAGGAAGAGGAAGGTCAAAGGTCAGCAGGAGACCAGCACCATGAGTTATCTGACCCGCAGCACAAAATGAAACATGTCAGCAGAAAAACAATAAAATTATTATTCTTCACGGACACTCTACATAATTATTAAACAGGCAGCAGCTCTTCTACGCCTGACAGAACTCCAGCTTTGTGCACGCTGTGGGAGGAGCTGAGATCTGTATGTGTGGGAACTGTGGGAGGAAAGAAAGACCCAGCAAACATCTCCCCACCCTCAGCCATTCCAGGGAAAGGAACTTCATGCTTCAGCAGACCATCTCATGGTCCCAACTTTGTGGGAACAGTTTGGGGATGGCTGTTCCAACATGGCTGCACACCGGTGTGCAGAAAGACATGGATGAGCTGTGGAAGAACCTGCCTGCACAGAGTCCTGACCTCAGCCCGACAGAACACCTTTGGGATGAGTTAGCGACTGTGAGCCGGGGCTTCTCGTCCAACATCCGAATGGTCCAAAATTCCCATAAACACTCCTAAACCTCTGGAAAGAAGAGCTGCAAACTGTTGCTAATATAGTGTCCTAAAGACGGCTGCAGCCTCTACGTCTGAAAATCCTGATTGGACACAAGTCTGTGACAACATGAGCAGCCTACTCTGGGCTCAGCCAACTCCTTCCTGATGATTTCATGGTCTCAGGTCTGACTGAATAACACGCCTTTACAGTGGCAAAGGAACAGGAAGCAGGGGACGGTGAGTGGATGACCACAGCCGGGACACTCAGGTGGTTTCCAGAGGAAACGGCCTGAACTATGACACGGAGAGTCCAGAAATACGCAGAGGCAAGATCTCGTGGTTCTGAGTGCGCGCTCACCTGGCAGGATCAGAGGCAGCCATGAGAGCATCCAGGTGAGAGCGGCCATGACAGCTGGAGCACATCTGCCGAGCTTCCATCAGCACCTCAACGGACAGACAGCAGCTGCTTTCCCTTTCTGAGCAGGGATGAAAGTGCAGTTACAGACCCACGCTTTTACTTTCTGTCTCATGTCTTACAGTTAAACACAGTTAATAAAGTTTTGACATTGAAATAAACCTTTATTGACACCCCCGTGGTTCTGTTAGCCTCTGATTTGGCCTCAGACTTCCCTGTAAGTACAGACTGTGAGATAAGTGTAACTTGCTGACCTGTTACGGAGAGATAAAGCCCCCATGAAGCGTCACTGGTCCGCAGATTCAAGTTTTCGTGTTTTTCTCAAACCGCCCACTCGCCGGAAATTCCTCCTCATCTCAGGCTAACGGGCTAACAGGCTAACGGGCTAGCACCCTCTGTGTTGGTAAAAGATCAAAGCTCCAGGCTGGTAGTAACCGATCAATGAGTCCGAGCGTGTTACCTGTCCCGGTGAGCGTCCCGATATGCTTCCGTTAGCGCTGTCACAGGACCGAAACACGCTGCTGCCGCCCCGCTGCCTTCACGGACCTCCGGTAATCGCGAAGTCTCTCCTGCTCATGTGCCGTTCCTTTGATCAAAGCGACATCACACCCAACAAAGACACAGCAACAACACTTAGAAACATTTCCCACTCGGTCGGTTTGAGTTTGTTGTTGACCAGTCTGACAAATCATAAAGTGTAAACTTCGTTTGACACACAGCATTAAATACAACGGGACAGACGCCATAAAATATACCGTCACAGTTGATTTAACGGGACATCGTCCCTGAAATCGGGTGTAGCAAATATATATCTATAGATATTTTTTTCTTTACAGTTTATAACGCCGTCTCTTCACGAGATCTCATTAGACCGGCGGTCATGAATGCAGCACCGCGGGAAGTCGGTGATAGGAAATCACGTGATGTTGTTGAAGCACGGACGCTTACCTGACAGGCTCCCAGTAGTTTGAGAAGTCATGTGATATAGTTTGTGGTTATTTTCCTTAGATTTGAGGTTTACATTTAGTTTTAAATATCCGTGTACGCGCTTCACGAGCAGGTCATCTTATAACCACAGCAACAAACCACGGTGGAATAAAATAACGATTTTATTTCTTATTTTCAAACCCTTAAGATTATGAAAACCAAAAATGCAGTGAAACCTTTTAACACAAAGAAGTTTAGTAAGTTCTCATTTTATTTATTTGATTGAAAGTGCATATCTTGTAGCCATGTTGTGTACATCAATCCTTGTTCTTGCTTCACTAAAAAACAAAAGGCTGATATATACCTGTGACTTTTCTCTAAATGAACCGTAACTCCAGAGGTCACATAAAAGCCACACAAATAACATCAGCAGTCAAATGTGATTGAAAGGTTTGGAGGTTTGTCTCAAAATAAGCCTTTAAACTGATTTTGTACCCTCTGGAAGTTGTGCTAACCCCCATCTTTGCCCTTACAAAGTTCCCATTTACATTCTAATGTAGGAATAAACTGCCTTCATGTTACAACTCTGCTGCAACAAACCACTGCAGACCTTTGCTTAATCCGATTACATTATTAAATGTCAACAGTCATACTGCTGAAGTAATCTGGAAATCCACTAGCATTATGATTTGGCTAGCAACAATATTAGCATGGGGTAGAGTGGCTGTAGCTCAGGTGTTAGAGCAGTTCATCTGCTAATTGGAAGGTTGGTAGTTTGATCCCAAAATTGTGAGGTACGTAAGTCAAAATTTCAATTTACTAAATCAAAATTTTGAGTTAAGTCAAATTTTTAAACCCACGACACCAATGTAAGGTAGCATGGAAAAATCATTAAGGACTCATTTTTTTAAATATTAAAAAATAAAATGTAATAATTATCACATTATTCTTTTTCTGCTAATTTCTGTTCACGTATCTTCTGTTCCAGCCATGGATGTTTATATGAAACATTGCTCAATGTATGAACAAGTGAGTCAAAGGCTCTTCTGCAGACAGTTTTTTCTACACCTGAGACTCTATTATATCAGAGGGAGGGTATACCCTTATATGGTCATCTCAGAAGCTCCAGCCAGCTTCTGTTTACAAGGGGCAGCCAATCAGAAAGCAGCAGTTTTAAAGTCACTGCAGCAAAAACAGTTTGTCTGAGACAGAGGAGACCCAGCGTGAGATGACCCAAACTTAATTATGAAGTACAGAGAATGGAAACCAGGAGAAAAGCAAACATTAAAATCTATATTTAATGAAGAACATTAGAAAGAGAAATGTCACAGTTTCCTTTGATTTTCTTAAAATGCTTATGTTAATTTTCAAACAACATTAAAAAGTGTCTGGACCCCATTTGGCAGCATCAGTTTTACGTTCACAGTCAAACAAGTCAAAAAGTCGGACACAGAAAATCCGGCTGGTTCATTTGCAGATCTTCTGACCTGCAGCACCAAATAATAAGCTGGTCTACAAACACGAGGAGACCCTGCGAGTCATCGACGCTCAGAGCAGCACACATCAGTATCATCTGTTTCTCAAATAGGGCGAGAACTCCTCCTCTTCCTCTTCAGTTAGCGTGTCCGTGCTGTTGCCTTCACATCTGCTCGCAGTGCGGTCTGTGTGTGTCGGGAATACTTGAGGTGTCAGGTGATCTGATTCAGTTTGTGAGTCTGTGGCAGGTAAACCCTCCAGGCTGGACTCTTTCAAAAAGCCTGTGACGTCCTCCTCATCTCCATCGCGTGCAGCCATTGAGGCGAGGGTGACTGAGAACAGGTTGACATTGCCGGAGATGTCCCGCACCTCCTTGTCCTCTTTGGACTTCGTCACCTCCTCCTCCTGACTTTGTCCCCAGACTCCACTTCGACTCCTCTCTTTCACCAAACAGAGCTGCGCTCCCTCCACCTCCGTCTCCACCTGGCCTTCGTCAGACTCTGCAGGCAGCGCCGTTACTTTCACCTTAGCAAATAACCTTGAGCTTCCAGCGTCCAGTGCTGCCGTTGGCTCGCTGTTCGTTGACATGTTGCCAGACAGCTCCTCACAGCAGCAGCTCTTCCCCCGAGGAGAGATCCACTGCTCTGTTCACATAGTTGCCATCATCGTCGTCCTCTGAGACATCGTCAATGTTGGCAGAAGGTGATGTTGTGTGATTGTTATGCTCCCCGGTCTCCGAGGTAACTGAGATGGGATCTGGGACGGTGGGCTGCGGGGCCAGGACGTAGCCTTTGGTTAGAGCCGTCTACAAAGAGAAGAGAAAGAAGCTCTGAGAAGGAGGAACAGAGGCAAACTCTGCTGAAGATGTCTATCATCGAGTCACAGCTGTGTCTAAGTATGCAGGACAAACACATCAGCCAAAGCTGTTTTCTGGGGACAGTCACTGTGATCTGTTAGCTGTTTGACAACTACTCTTTCAAGGATCTAGAGATGGTCTAGAGATGCTTTTTGAGTAAAGGTTTAACTACAGCCAGCTTGAAGGCCTGTGGTACACAGCTGATTATTAGAGATAGGTTGATCATATTTAAGACTGAAGCAAGATATACACAGAGCAGCAGGGCAAAACAGAAGTCGTTTTCAGCTCAGCTGACTCATTTGCTTAACCTTTGAAGGACTTTGGTCCTTCTGTGGAAATGCAAATCACAATATGCTGGAGGAGCTTTACGACTGTGGAGCTTCAAAGCGTTTGAACTTTGTCCTCTGAGAGACGCTCATGGATGAAATGAAGGCGATGTTCAACTTCACAGCAGAAATAAACACATCATTATAAAATCTCTCAAACCACAGGTGTTAGAGTGCACATGAAACTGGATTTCTTACAATTAGAGCTCTGGGCACAGTTTCCTTCAGTTTACAAATGACTCCCGTGTAGAAGAGGAGGAGCAGGCAGCTCGTGACGATGAAGATGGCAACCATCGGGACGCCGATGACCAAACCTAAAGTGAGGCCTGCAGACACACAGACACACATTATTCCATGCAGACGACCGTCTGAACCAGCCGAAGTACAGCGGAGGGGTGTGGTTTGTGGCTGTGCTGTGGGAGGGATGGGTGGAGCAGGTGGCTGGGGGAGGAGTCCCACTGGCGAGAGGGGCAGCCCTGGCATGTGTTAGTAATTACTCCCTCTGCATATTTACACAGATAAGGAGGCAGATGAATTGTGGCAGCTCATTATGCTCTGATTCAGCAACAACGCCCGCCTTACCGGCTGCACATCAGCTCACCTCTCTGCTGGTCCACCGCCGTGGTGAAGGTGCACTTCCAGGCAGACGGCTCATGGTTGTTTAGTTTTCTGGTGTTGAGCTTCACCTCTATGCAGTACTCCGCCCCTTTCTTTAAGTTTTCAAGGATAAAACTTTTATTTTCTGTTTCCAGCGTCTGCAAGTCAAAGAAGGAGGAAACGTGTCATTAAAATCACATCTGGGATTTGTCCACGACCCACTGGTGTGATCCTCAGCATCGTTTTCTCCTCTGACCTCTACGCGGCCATGAAGACACCTTTGGAGGCCTGACCAGGTGTACAACACCTGCTCTGACAGGTGACTCTCAAAGTCAAAGTCTCCTCATGTCAATCAACCCGACACCTGCTTTTAGGCAGAAGCTTGCTGTGATTGGCTGCATTTCCATTTTTATATCGTATATGTACTGTATGCGTTTTACAGCCGCGCCTGGACACCAGTCAGCGACCGCTGGCTCAGGGACAGGATGGCGAGAGGTTGCTGACCGGCCTGTAGGCCCATGTGACTGAAGCCTCAAACAGGTTTAAAGGAACTCTAGAATGAAGACTTTCACCAGCTGAGGTCTAAATCTATCCTATCGGGCAGTGGCTGAAGCAAAAACTCGGGTGTGGGAGGAGTTCGGAGAGGCCATGGAAAAAGCCTTTCGGACTGCCTCGAAGACATTCTGGCAAACCGTCAGGTATCAGGCGTCTCTACCTGCACTGTGTATAGTGCTGGCGGAGCGCTGCTGACGTCGACTGAGAAAATTGTCAGGCGGTGGAAGGAATACTTCGAAGACCTCCTTAATCCCACTGACACGTCTTCCAAGGAGGAAGCAGAGTCTGGGGATGAGGGGAATGACCCGCCAATTTCCGGAGGCGAGGTCACTGAGGCAGTTAAACAACTCCTTGGTGGCAGAGCCCCTGGTGTTGAGGATCAGCACCTCCAAATCTGAGGCCATGGTTCTCAGCCGGAAAAGGGTGGAGTGCCCACTCTGGGTCGGGATGAGTTCCTGCCCCAAGTGGAGGAGTTCAAGTATCTCGGGGTCTTGTTCGCAAGTGATGGGAGAAGGGAGCCGGAGATCGACAGACGGCGGCTGCAGTGATGCGGACGCTGCACCGGTCCGTCGTGGTGAAGAGGGAGCTGAGTGTAAAAGCGAAGCTCTCAATTTACCGGTCGATCTACGTCCCTACCCTCACCTATGGCCACGAGCTGTGGGTAGTGATACGGATACAAGCGGCGGATACAAGCGGCAGAAATGAGCTTCCTCCGAAGGGTGGCTGGCCTCTCCCTTAGAGATAGGGTGAGAAGTTCGGCCATCTGGGAGGAGCTCAGAGTAGAGCCGCTGCTGCTCCACATCGAAAGGAGCCAGCTGAGGTGGTTCGGGCATCTGACAAGGATGCCCCCTGGGCACCTGCCGGGGTTGGTGTTCTGGGCATGTCCTACCGGGAGGAGGCCCCGGGCAGACCCAGGACACGCTGGAGAGATTATATCTCTCGGCTGGCCTGGGAACGCCTTGGTGTTCCCCCGGATAAGCTGGAGGAGGTGGCTGGGGAGAGGGAGGTCTGGGCTTCTCTGCTTAGGCTGCTGCCCCCGCGACCCGGCCCCGGACAAAGCGGATGAAGATGGATGGATGGATGGAGGTCTAAATCTGCACGTTGATGTTGAGATGAAATGGATGTCTTACCCCAATTTCTCCATCGGTTCCGATCCGAAATTCGACTCTGAAACTGGCTCCGTAATATTGCTGGATACTGGGAAAGTTTGGCAGGTCATCGGGCCAAGGCAGTGAAATGTTGATCTGGATGTAGTTTTCATATCCGACCAGTGAGACCTCTGGAGGACCTAATTTAGCTTGTAAACAGAAGAAAACACGCGGTCACCTTTTGGTAAAGATTCAACCAGTCCAGAGATTTTAGTTCAATCAAAGCCTGATCTGGATTATGGGACACACTTAAATCCAAATGCACCAGTGTGAAACCCAGAAGACGCTCATGCTGACGTACTTTCTTTGTAAGGGACAAAATCTATTTTTCCGGACTCTGGAGACCAGGTTTGGTTGAAGAACGATTTGACGTGCAGGTAATACTGGGACTCCCACTCTGGTAGCATCAGTGGCATCGATGTTCCAGATGTTTGGTTGCATTGGGGCTGCGTTGGTATGTTGCATTGCTGTTTCCACTTCTTTCTATTATCACTGAACAACGACAAACAGAACATTTTAGATCAGAAGGACAAAAACAGTAAAAGAAACATTTGCTTTGTGTTACGACTGTTTGCTCAAACAGCGACGATGAGCTGTTCATGTCTCGAATCCAGCTGGTCCTAGATTCAAACGAAAGCTGATTTCTGATTGGACGTTTACTGTCAGGTTACCATTCATGAATAAGAGAGGAGTTTAGATGTTAATTAAAAAGCTCAGAAGTCTGCTGCTTTGCTCAGACGCAGCTTTTCAAACCTAAGCCGTGCTGTCGAGGCTGTGACCTTTAACCTGCTGAGGCCTGTAGACGTGTTTCCAGATAAAAGATGATGCATTCAGGGTGCTTAAGACGGGAATATGACACAACGCCAATATTTCAGAGCTAAAACAGGACAAGTGAACGCACCACGTATCACAGGTTTTATCCCCTCTGACAGCTCGTTCAGATCCTGATGGAAACCCATCTGAGGCCTGAAGCTGGCTCACCTGAGGCCAGCACACCGGCTCTGAAGACTCAGTGAAACCTGAAAATCATTTCTAAGACATGCAGGAAGGCAGCCGGATGCTGCTGCGTTTTAGCTGTAAGACAATAAAGACTCGTTGGACCCACAGGCTGTGGTTTGGTGACGAGGACGCTGTATGAGGAAGAACACAGTTTCTGAACGAGCTGAAAAACACGAAGCCACGAGCAGTTTCAGTGTATTCATGTTAAACCTTGCAAACGTAAAGCGAACCCTCACGATGAGTGCTGAAACTGAAACGGCGTCAGAGCCATCCCAGCTGCTCTCTGTGAACAAACCGCCCAGGAGAGAGAAAGCACCCCGCCCAGGCAGATATTCCACCAAAGAAGAAGAAGGAGCCAGTGAAGCTGACTGAAAACGTGAGCAGATTAAAGGTCGCGGTTCACCAGCAGGAGATCATCACCACAGCAACGCGGCCCAAACAAAGTCAAACAGTGTAGAAAAACGTGAAAAATGATGGAAATGCAACAGATTTGGTGATCGGTACAAATGTTAGAAGATTCATTCAAATATGAAGGACGTGTACAAACGTGGGGCAGTCTCCATGGTTACATATCAGCTGATGGTTTCCTACAAACATGTTCACAGAGATATCAGCTGTGAGAACTCCCACTGTCAGTGTGTGAGTCGTCCCTGCACACACACTAATATCTGTTATTGATAATATTAGAATATTAAAGGCGAGCTCTGTGTCGGACACGTCGCCCCTCGGAGTACTCAGTACCCTTAAAGTAGCTCTCAGGGCAAAGAGATTGGTGACCCTGGTCTGAAGAGGTCCCCACAAACCTCAGCCCGCCGCTCTGCTTTCACTTCCTGTTTCATCTCCACGCACTCCAAAATAACCACGATCTGTGTGCTAGAACATCTTTGTGTGTAACTAACTTTGTATAGCTGCATAATTACAATATAATTAAAAATGAAATTATTCTGTTGTTTCATTTCTTTCTTTGATCTGAAGAAAAGTGCAGACAAACTTGTGTGAGTTACAAAATAAAACAGGAAATCTATTTTTGAATCGTTCTTTTGGTAAAAAAGAAGAAGCAACAGTGGAATTTCCCAGCAGGCTACGGGGGGACTTTTACCCTCCTTTAGAAAAAATATCGTGTTCTGAACTTCGACAGGAAGCATCTGACAAAAACACGCAGCTGATGCAACACTTTTATTTACAGGTGTTTAATCCTGTCCTTTAGCTCAGGTGTGTGTGTGTGTGTGTGTGTGTGTGTGTGTGTGTGTGTGTGTGTGTGTGTGTGTGTTAATAAAAGCCTGGAGTCACAGCTGAGCTTGAACTTGATCCTTCAAGCGTCTGAACTTTGCGTTTCTACATCACCCACAGAGCTCAGAGGTTTTTTGGGGTTTGATGTGAGCACCATCGTCTTCATGTTACCAGGCTGAGAGTGACAGGACGTGAGGACAGACGGCGGACAAATTACCTCACAAAGACCCCGTACTCTGTCCCAGGGGGCGTGTTGTCGCCGGGCTTCCACCGAAGGACGTGGCGGAAGTTCAGAGAGTCGACAGAAAGGTTAACAGGTGCGGGAGGCGGATGAGCGAGCTCTGCGAGAGGAAGAAAAGAGAAAATATGTGAGGCAATCTGCTGAGTCACGAGGATCCAAAGTATACCTGTTGTAAAGGCTCACCTTTTAGCACATTCACTTCACCAGATGCACCTTGTTTCTTTTCCTCACCTTTGATTGGGTGTGGTGCTTGGCCTTAATTGCACTCACCTGTCACTCGGCATATAAGGACTGCACTCACCTACCCCTCACTCTTTCTTCACTCCCACATGGGGCAGCAGCTGAGAGAGAGCAGTCCATGTGTGTCTTTCTTTCCTTTACCCGTTATACAATAAAACGACAAAACCTATAAATGATTGATGACTGCTTATTCTCACTCTAATCGGATGAGCCCATGATTACTTAAACCCTGAACCTTCCTTCCTCCAAAACAATACCTGACAGGTATCAGCCTGTGTGTGGGTGGGGCAGGACGGTATTTGAACTAGGGCTGCCACAAACGATTATTTTGATAGTCGACTAGTCACCGATTGTTTTTGCGATTAGTCGACTAATCAGATCATCATCCATTGGAGTAAAACGTACAGCTTATTGCACCAGCAGCATCTGCTCTTATATAACTATCATTAGCTTACAGCTTTAAGTGTTTGAGGTCTGTGCTAACTAAAAATAAAGACAAGATGATAGTTTGTTAAACTTTAATGAAATCTGCAGATTGTTTCGGTGAAGTTTAATAAACTCCTTATTTATTATCCCATTGAGATTATAAACCTCTTTTCAAGGGAGACCTGGCCAAGATAGGCAGCAGCAGATGTCTCACAGTTACAGAAATTACTCAAACACAGGCAGCAACAACACACATGCAACAATAAGTGAAAGAATACAAATAAAATAAAAAATAAAATTCAATAAAATTCAAATAAAAAAATCAGTTAAAATGACAATCAATCTAATTGAAACAGTTACATGTTATGGACTTGGCCTCAAGGATTCGTAGTTTATAACAGGACACCGGAGTAAATTCTCCAGCATCTCACACTTCTGATAATTAGCTGTCTGCTTGACGTTTATTCAGCTGTGTAAAAACTTTAATCTCAGCCAAACCGATTTACTCAGGAACAAATAAAATACAAAAAAAAAGCCAAACAATAACATTTTAAGTTATCTAAGTGACTCATATATCATGTTTAACCTGAGTAGTGAAAGACGGCGGTGGGTTTGAAAACGATTTGCGGGGAGTCCGGTGTTCTCACGGCTCTAGTTAGCCTAGCCCCCGCCTAGCTATCGAGCTAGTGGGTAACAGAGGTCTCTGAAAACGTCGGAGCGCTTTTGAAAATATGCGGTGTCCTGATAAACTGAGCAGATATTTGAGGTTTCCACAGCTACATTCTCGCCTGAAAATATGTTAAACGTTTATTTTGTGACCCAGAAAGAATAATAAGAGTAACATTAAAACTAACTAGCTGCCGCCATTGTTGGAAACTGAGCTGGGCTGCGCTATGAATTCTGGGACACAGCTGCTTCTTTTTCGGGGTTTAACGGCAGCTGGCATCCTTGTACGTGCAGTGCTGCCATCTTCTGTTTCAGTCCGTTATTACACTCTTAAATCCTACTACTTATTCCTGCATCTTTCAGGATCTTACAAAGTTTCAAACGACGCGTCGACTATTAAATCAGTCGTCGACGATTTTGATAGTCGACGTAATCGTGACTAGTCGACTAATCGTGGCAGCCCTAATTTGAACACCTGACTGCTTTTACATGACTCACCTGAGTGCAGCAGCAAGCTGAGGCAGAGCAGCAGAGGCAGACAGGCCATCGTCACAGGTGGGCAGGATTCATCGTCACGTCTGCAAACGCGCTGAGAGCCAGGAAGCACCACGCGGTCCAGCTGCAGCGAAACATCATCTACATTTACATCTCATCGACGAGACGATTGTAATGTTTCGGATTGTTTCAGTTCGAGAAAAGATTTTCAGTCAATTAAACATAAACTCAGTTAGTTGCCCAACTGCAGCCGCTTCATCCTGAAGACAGAAAACCCCCACCATCAGACAGCGGTGACAAAAACCCCTTTTCACAGGAAGAGAGCAGGGAAACAGGATGAAACACTAAAAAGACAACATTTAGTGACGCACTGCAAACGGCGAGAGAGGGGAGAGGACGCTCAGAGAGAGACAGACTCTCAGACTTGTGGGCAACATCGTCAACATGTTGCATCAAGCATGAATGATGACATCACAGCAAGTCTGGCACCTTCTCTCCTCTTCCTCCTCTGCCGCTGAGCCCAGCCCTGCTGCCTCAGCACTAGGGCTGGGCCATATTATACCGTTCACGGTAATAGCGGTATAATGTTAGGCAACGATAGGAAAATGAAATATAGCGATAGAATATGAGTAAAACGCGCATGCGCAGTGCCTTTGTTTTCATACGCACATGGCGGATTGTTGAGTGAAACAGATGAACCAGAATTGGTTTGTAAAAATGGTGCAACTTCAGTGATGTGGAACTGGTTTGGTGTTTGTCCGTCAGATACACGACAAAGCACATTTTTTTGCAGAACATGCAAGCGGCCGTTGTTATTGTCATATTTGTCGGACTAAGATGCTCTTAAATCTGGGAGTAATCTGGGTCCTAAACTCCGTATACTTCAGGTCAAACGAACACTGCAGCATCACTGAGCGTTAAAAACTGTCTAAATTCTTTCATCTTTAATAAAACGATCAGCATTGCTGCTTTACCAGGTATAACTATAAAGTTTAACTTCCAGGCATCCATGAAAACAAAAGTTATTACATTTAACGGAGTTAGAAGTTAGCAGGAAGTTAGCTCGCTAGCTTCCACCTAAACATGATATAGCATGTTCTGACTGAGAGATTTCTGAAAAAATTCAAACGTACAGCTCTGCTATCACTTCCAACATAAATGAAGACAGGAAACTAAACAGCAGTGATGTTTGTAGGGTTACTGAAGTTGGGCTAGCTGCTATATCCCTGTACACCAACTGCTGCACCTCCACCCACCAGTCTGTCAAGCTAATCAAGTTTGCAGATGGCACCACCGTCATTGGGCTCATCTCGGACGGGGATGAGTCTGCCTACAGGAGGGAGGTTGAACGTCTGGTGTCCTGGTGCAGCCACAACAACCTGGTGCTGAATGCCCAGAAGACAGTGGAGATTATTGTGGACTTCAGGAAGCACACAGCCCCACTCCCCCCATCATCCTGACTGACACCCCCATCACCTCTGTGGACTCGTTCCGCTTCCTGGGTACCACCATCACCCAGGACCTGAAGTGGGAGCCCACCATCACCTCCGTCATCAAGAAAGCCCAGCAGAGGATGTACTTCCTGAGGCAGCTGAAGAAATTCAACCTGCCAACACGGACGATGATGCAGTTCTACACTGCAATCATCGAGTCCATCCTCACCTCTTCCATCACCGTGTGGTACGCTGGAGCCACTATCAGGGACAAACAGAGACTGCAGCGTGTTGTGCGCTCTGCTGAGAAGGTGATTGGCTGCAGACTCCCATCTCTGCAGGACCTGTACACCTCCAGGACACTGGGGCGTGCAGCTCGGATCTCAGCTGACCCTTCTCACCCTGGACACAGTCTGTTTGACCTGCTCCCCTCAGGCAGGAGGCTCCGGTCCATTCGCACCAGAACCTCTCGCCACAAGAACAGTTTCTTCCCCTCTGCTGTTGGACACATGAACAATAACCATATGATTGTCCCCGCCACTAACACATGACCCTACGCTGTGTCACTGCATCATTTCATGTTTGGCACTGATCACCACCTGCACTCATGTATATATCTTTCTACGTAGCACTCATAATTCTTATTCTCATGTATATATCTCATGTATATCTCATGCACATATCTTTCTTTCTACATAGCACTTTAATTCTTATTGTCTGCACTGAAGCACCGCAGCAATTTCCTAATGTTGTAAACCTCAACATCTGGCAATAAACCCATTCTGATTCTGATTCTGATTCTGATATAATGATGTGCTACGTGATCGCTAGCTACACAGCTATGTTAGCATAGCATAAACACAGTGAAGCTGGAGGATGAACGCTAACTTTTTTCCACTTATAAAAGTTAACGTGAAGGTTCTTCATGGTTAGAGACAAATGCAATCGCATGGCAGGATGCTGTAAACGGACCAAACTTCAGTCAGGAGAACAACTGAGATAATCCATCCACAATACCAGGTTAGTCATTAATATACTGCTGCAACATGGGAATAGAGCAGCTGCAGAGGATTCAACATTAATGAATCAATGGTACAGAAGTGGAGGAAGCAAGAAGAATGAGTTTAATAAAGTTTGATTTATCTGACTGCTTTGTTTCGCTTAATGTGCCTTATAATCCCGTGCGCCTTATGGTCCGAAAAATGTGTACTGCACACTGCAGTTTAATGTTGCAAAGCACCTCTTTTTAACTTCAGTGGATATTATACATGGTTATGCTCAGGATATGTCAGCCCATTTCTACTGGAAATGCCTTTTGGTTAAACTTTCAGCAAGGAATTTGCATTTGCACTGTTACATTTTTATAAAGCTTTAATGTACATAAAAACCAGCTTCTTGTTTAAGTGAAATAAATGGAAGGTTGTCTTTTTGCGCTAGTAATGTTGTGGAGTTGTATTTTGTCTCGCATCAATTATATCGTCAGTTATATCGTTATCGCAAATTTTCAAATATATATCGTGATAAATATTTGTGGCAATATCGCCCTGCTGTACTCAGCACTCTCACATCCTCCCACGTGCATCACTTCTACCACATTATTAGAAACCAGAGTTAAAGCTTGAAGGTGAACTTTTTACTCAGTGTTCACGAGACGGCAGCTGCAGAAAAAACTGACGTTCTTTTACAAAAACAGGAGCCGTGCAGACTGACTGGAAACACGCTCAGGACCCCGAGTCTGGTCCAGAGGCTGGGAGCCTCAGCACCGCTGTGAAAGTCTCCCAGTTCCTGTTTTCAGTGAAAACATCACGATGAGGACGGTTCATGAGCGTGAAACACCAGGACATCAAAGGTTTACTGTATGGTGTTTGAAAAACCACACGTGAAAAACACACAACTAGGGCTGCTCGATTATGGCAAAAATGATAATCACGATTATTTTCACTGAAATTGAGATCTCGATTATTTGACGATATTTATTTAACCCTTTAAGACCTACTAGAACCAAGTCCGCCAGAGCTTATATTAATTTTTTACATGTTGTAGTGCCATTTATGGGAGCATTTCAAGTTGCTATACAACTGTTATAGCCCATATTTTAATAATATGTATGCATTAAGTCCATAGTAACTACATTAATTGCAAAAAAGTGCAATAAACTACAAAAAACAAATTGAAAATCGTTTTTGGTTTTTTTACATATATTTCTAATTGGAGAAATTTAAGAGGTTTGTCCCTCAAAACTTTAAATACAAAAAAGTTGCAAAAAATAGTTTACAACAGGAAATTTATTTTGAGTGTCTTCATAGTTTTATTTTGGAGATACAGCAATTTTTATATACTGCAGGAAAAACAAAAAAACAATCCTATGATGCAAATTTGCAAAGAAAACAGCAGGTGCATCAAAATAAACTATTTCCAGCAGTGCAATTCGAGTTCTAAGCATCCCAGCAACTATTCAGAAAAGTCAAACATGACCAGTATAGGCTTTTAAGGCCTACAAGTAAAAAACTACATTTCCGCGAAAATGACGTCACTTCCGGTTTTGGCCAGGAAATGGCGGACACGTGATAGTTCGCGCTGACGTCTGTTTCACGGTGGGAAGTGTTAAGAACAGCTGATCGGCGAAGCCTGTTTCTGGAATATTATGTTTTTGTTCCTGCAAGCGCTTTTTATGCAATTTTTGCAAAGCTATATGTGGAAGGAAACCGTGACCGAGGACAAGCTGATGGCATCAGATGTAAGTACAACTCCTCCGGTTTCATATGGTAAATGGTAAATGGCCTGTATTTATATAGCGCTTTACTCGTCCCTAAGGACCCCAAAGCGCTTTACATATCCAGTCATCCACCCATTCACACACACATTCACACACTGGTGATGGCAGCTACATTGTAGCCACAGCCACCCTGGGGCGCACTGACAGAGGCGAGGCTGCCGGACACTGGCGCCACCGGGCCCTCTGACCACCACCAGTAGGCAACGGGTGAAGTGTCTTGCCCAAGGACACAATGACCGAGACTGTCCAAGCCGGGGCTCGAACCGGCAACCTTCCGATTACAAGACGAACTCCCAACTCTTGAGCCACGATCGCCCATATGCAAAACAAATTATTGCGCTAGCTTACGCGGTTCCAGTTCTACAGGGATTTAAAAATAGTTACACAAAACGGAGCGTGCTGCTCTGACCGGCTTTAAAGGGTTAACAATGACTTTAAAAAATAATATAACATAGTGTGCAACACCACTGAAGTTTTTTTTACCTGTCTTTTCAACCAACGGCAGTCACTCTCCTCTCCAAATAACTCCTGCTTAGCTTTCCGAGCTTCCCTCGGGTCCTCTTAATCAGCGGTCTCCAACCTTTTTTGCGCCACGACCGGTTTATGCCCGACAATATTTTCACGGACCGGCCTTTAAGGTGTCGCGGATAAACGAGGGAGGGGCTAATAATCGGCTCACTCATTTTTAATGATCGTTGAAAGTCCAGATCGTAATCGTGATTAAAATTCGATTAATTGAGCAGCCCTACTCACAACACAGTCAACAACAATAACAGTGACAATAGCGATAATCCATCATCTGGTGATCCTTGTCAGGGTCACAGGGGGCTGGAGCCTCCCAGTTACCCTGCACGCTGGACTGGTCGCCAGTCTGAGACAGACCAGACTGGACACAGACACGGGGAGAACACGCAAAGTCCACGCAGAAAGACCCGACAACAGCGCTAATCACCGCGCCACCGTGCTGCTAAACAACAACAACAATAATAATAACTGGACAGTCTCGTGCACTTAAGTCAATTCAATTTTATTTATATAGCGCCAAATCACAACAAAAGTCGCCTCAAGGCGCTGTTGTTGTGATTTGGCGCATTACAGTAGTTTTAGTCAGCGTGGTGTTTGTCAGAGTGACAGATCGTGATATAATAATCTGAGCCCACGGTGAAACCTGTCCACTCTCCCACGTTTAAAACAATAAAAGGCAAAACCAGATTAGTTTAATGAGCGCTTTGTTCAGAGGAACACAACACACAGTCTCAGTGACCACGGACACCCTGATTGACTTTCTGATCAGTCACTTATCCCTATTATCATTGTTATCATGATGATCATTGTTGTTGTTATCACTTCACGCGGCTGGTCGGTGTCCGCTCCACAGTCTGGCCCCTGCTCGCGTGTACTAGTCGGTAGTTAAACACCATAAACCGGCCCCGGAGTGCCCGCCGGTCACTGCTCCCTGCGGAACCGACACAGCCACACACAGACAGCGGTGTCGTGGACATGCTCGGCCGGCCTCGGTGGCCCTCTGCCCGGTCACTCACCTCCTGTCTGCCCGGAGCGGAGCTTCTGTAACCAATACGTCTACTCACCAAAGAATGAGTGAAGCAATATGGATAACAGCAGAGGACAATTTATTTAGGGTCTGATGGCAATTTACCATCGGTGTCCAGCACTTTAAAGGATTGATGGACTGGAGCACATCTGTCCTTAACATACCCTCTTAAACATCAGCTTGACACTGATATATCAAAGGAAACTTAACCGACTTTAAGTGCAAATGTTTCAACCTGAACAACTTAAAACCTCTCTGGGATACAATGTAAACAAAGACAAGAAGAAGAAAAAATATTTCCATCAATAGTCACTTTTCCTAACCAGGAGACAAGTGAATATATTATGTAAAGAGTCTTTTTTCTCAGTCCTGGGGTTGTAACACCACAACCTCCTCAGTCCGTAATCAAAGAGTGTCTATTTGACAATAACCAAAATGTCTTTGGATAGTCTTTGTGAATGAAAACAAAACAAAAAAAAACAAATGGTATTAGCTGGCCAGCAAAATAAAGAGAGTGTATGGCACTGAGTGCGGGCGTGTGTGTGAGTACTTCGGTCCAAATAATCAAGGTCCGGATGGATGAAGGGATGGCGGCCGCTTGTCCTTTAATGGCACCAGTAAGGCAGCACAGTAGTAAGGCAGCACAGTAGTAAGGCAGCACAGTAGTGAGGCAGCACAGCAGCGAGGCAGCACAGCAGTAAGGCAGCACAGCAGCGAAGCGTCTGGCAGGAGAACGAACAATAGTCCTTTTCAAGGCTACTGCAGAAGGCGATATTCCCCGCTAGCTCACCCCAGCTTGCTCTCTGGCACAGCTACAAGCCACGTGAGCTCATAACCCTATAGTGACATACGAACTTGGCTACCAACGTCCGCTTAGCATGGCGGCTAATTGTCGAGCTTGCTAGCTTAGCCTCGATTAGCGATTAGCACCTTAATAACCATTACTACACATCACATCATAGCAAACACATGATAACACATGGAATAGTATAATATACATACGAAACAGATTTTTTACCTGGCAGGAGAACGAACAATAGTCCTTTTCAAGGCTACTGCAGAAGGCGATATTCCCCGCTAGCTCACCCCAGCTTGCTCTCTGGCACAGCTACAAGCCACGTGAGCTCATAGCCCCTCCCGCTAGGATGTACTACCACAGTCGACTGTCGTAAAGCAGCCGCAAACCAATAGCAATAAAAAAAAAACTCAAAATCATTGAAGAACATTTTATAACACCCAATATAGGTATATACATATATACTGAATATCACACAATATCAGATAACCAAATTAACACTGGGTTACACTTCCACAGCCTCGGAGAAAGACGAGCAGCTCCCAGAAACTCTCCTTACACTGTGACGCAGACGGGCTCCTCTCAGCTCTCCACATCAAACCTACCACCGCTTCCTGCCACGCCCTTCAAAGTAAAAGCCTCCCGCACCAACACAGTTCTACACTGGTCTCCGTGGACTTTTTTTTCCTTAAGCTGGATCTAGTTTTCTGTATCTTAATAATATGTTATTAAATTATTGTAATGTGATCGGGATGAACTGTGGACCTCTCACAGTAGGAACTGAGTGGTTAACATCACGCGTGGGCGTGTCAGAGTGCCAGGGTAGAATTTTTCCCTTGCGTCGGGAGCGCGCACTGATGAGTGTTTGTGGGTTACAGGAGAAAATGATGCATTAAAAGTTCTCACGCGGCGCATCATTTCCACACCGTGGCTCATATTTATTTGTATCCTGTAACTTTACTGTTTAAAGAGCCAACGCCGCTAATATTTCAGCAGTAATACGTCTTTATAAGAAGTGTTTGTGAACTAAATCTAAAAACGACAGATAGTGTTCATCCGTGATTCGGACAGCCCTGTGCGCGCTCCCGACGCAGGGGAAACAAATCGTCTGGGGATACCAACCCTGGCACCACACCGGCGATCCAGCTGGATGGAAAGGCTGTTATGTTCGGGGTGAGGAGGGGAGGATGGGTGCCGTGTTTAGGTAGGGACTCCAGACCCCGCCGGATCAGCTGCTGTCTCTGGGATCCCGTCGCGCATGCATATAGTTTAATAGTTTAATAGTTTAATTATTTATATAGCACATTTAATTACAACAGGAGCGTTTACCAAAGTGCTGTACAAGAATACAACATACATAATAAAACAACTTAGAGTATTAAAAGCAAACACCAAATATGAATTAACAAACAACTCTCATGCTGTATTAAAAGCCAGTAAATAAAAATGTGTTTTAAGATAAGATTTAAAAAGATGGACAGTATGAGCCTGTCTGATGTGTAGGGGTAAATTACTCCTCAGCTTAGGCGCTACGACTGCAAATGCTCGATCACCTCTATGAACCAGCCTCGACCTTGGTACAGCTAAAAGCAAAAGATCACTTGATCTAAGAGATCTAAGGGGGTATAAGTCTGCAAGAGGTCAGACAAATACCCGGGAGCCTGTCCATTCAGGGCTTTGTAACAACAATAAAATTTTAAAATTAATTCTGAAGCGGACAGGGAGCCAATGAAGGGAGGCAAGTACCGGGGAAATGTGTTCACATCTTTTAGTACGTGTCAGAAGACGAGCTGCAGCATTCTGGACCAACTGCAGCCTTGAACAAGCATCCTATAAAGGATGCTTGTTCAGGGGAAAGGTTGGGGGTGTGGGGGTGTGTGGGGGTCTATAAGTTCGGTATTTTAATGTCGGGAAGCTGGGAGGAGGTGGCTGGGAGGTGTAGTCGCAGTTGGGGTTGTCAGTGTGTAGTGTCGTTAATTTGCAGTGGGTGGATCCTGTGCTGTGGTTTATACTGGCGTGGACAGATGCGGCCTCGCTCGGGTAAAAAAAAAATCGTAGATCTTTTACTGAAGTTCACGAACTTTTCCGGTAAAACAGAAGATTCCGTAGAATTTCTCTACTATTTACGGACATTCCTTCAACTCTAAAACGGAAAATTCCGTTTCTTCACAATAAAATTTGTATGAATAGAAAAACTGAAAGTCGTGTTTATCATTTACAGACACTGGTTTTCACTGTAACTCATTAAATTAATTTCTTTATATCTTTACACTTCGATACAGTTACAACCTTTTACACCATCTGCTCAAAAATTCGTAAATTAAAACTTCATGAACAAAATAACTGACAGACATCAAAATGTGAAGATTTGTATTTCCCTTGAAGTCACTTTGTCCTCATGTAAACGCGTTCATGCACATTCACGTGTTTTCTTCCTACAGGACACCTGACCAACAAACATGTAATAGTATTTGTACAGTAACAGTATCCAGAGTACTTTAGGTTCGAATCACTGCTGCGGTTGTTTGGCTCAGCCAAACACGCGTGGTTCACATCCATGTGTGTCCACTCATGAGAAGGACACACATGTAGTCCTGCATTCACTTCATCAATGAATCCGAGTGAACGTTTGTCCTGCATTAACTCTGTGGGGTCTTCACCTTACAGTAACACGTGTGTTTGTTCACTGATGCTATATGAATAAAAGGGAACTACAGCTGTTCCTGAAACGTGTCTTTGTTAGAACAGGGCGGATGGATGAGCACAGCCCTCTCAGCGCAGGGCTGACACCACTTTGCCCCTTATAAGAAATACAACACAAATTTATTAGGACAGGTTACTAAACCAGGCTTACAGGTAAAAGGACATTTACTGAGCGGATCGTGTCAGCTGTTGCTTCCTTTCACCCGCTGTGTGAAAACAAAGCCCTGGGCTCCCTCTGCTGGTTCGTTAGTTGAGGACAGGCAGCAGAAAGCGCAGGAGGACCCAGTGCTCTTACGTTGAAGTTCTTCCGCTTCCTGTCTGGCTGCTATTGCGCTTCCCAAACGTCACTCGGTGGTTTCCAGGCTGTTGTTCGGGGGCCGCCGCTGGAGGGCGCTGTGGGAGTTTATTAGTTAGGAGTTTTTTTTAAACGCTTTTATTTCTGTGAACTTTGAAAAGCTGCAGAGCTGTGAGGAAATGTCTCAGCGACTCGCTTTAATAAAGTTTTTAGCAGAGGTGTGGACTCGAGTCACATGACTTGGAATCGAGTCAGACTTGAGTCATTAATTTTATGACTTTAGACTTGACTTGGACTTTTACACCAATGACCTGGGACTTGAATCGGACTTGAACCGGTTTACTTGAAAAGACTTGATATTTCACCCCAAATATAAAATTTAACATGCATATTATATAGAAAGTGTGCACCATTAATTCAATTCATTGATTCATTTATTCAAACCACACTCCGTATGTATGTGTGCGTGAGCTGTAGCACAGCCGATCAAATTAACCAGATTTAAAAAATAAAATAAAAAACGCTCAAAAATGCTGCAAGGAGTTATTTTTTTCAGGTACATAAACTATGAAGTAGTCAACAAAAAACTGAAATGCAATATGCAAAACATGCAAGAAGAGAATCACAGACAGAGATGGAACAACTTCCAACTTTCTCCGACAGTTGAAGTTGCATAAAGAACGTAGGTGGTGCTTCTCTCTTGCTACGATGAGATCATGACTTCATCTAACAAGCAAATGTTGTCCAGGCTACGTTGGTGATACAGTTTTTTTTAATGTGTATGATACTTTTGTCATGCGATTTTAAAGCTGGTCCTACAAGCGCATCCAAGAATAACATGCAGCTTATCTCAGAACTGTCGGTGAAAATTATTCTTGGAGCTAGGTTTAATTGAGCTGCATTTTATAGAGGTGCAATTTCACAATTTGTGTATATTTTCTAAGTTCACTATTTTGTCATGTGTTGAGAAAAACACAGATTTTAAAATTACATGGTCTAATATTTACATTTAGTGTTTTGGAGGAAGGAAGGTTCAGGGTTTCAGTAGTCGTCATCATGGGCTCATCGGATTAGAATGAGAATAAGCAGTCATCATTTGCAGGTTTTGTCGTTTTATTGTATAACAGGTAAAGGAAAGGAAGACACACATGGACTGCTCTCTCTCAGCTGCCGCCCCATGTGGGAGTGAAGAAAAAGTGAGGGGTAGGTGAGTGCAGTCCTTATATAACAAGTGACAGGTGAGTGCAATTAAGGCCAAGCACCACACCCAATCAAAGGTGAGGAAAAGAAACAAGGTGCATCTGGTGAAGTGAATGTGTTGAAAGGTGAGCCTTTACAACAGCCGCTCCCATATTTCTACTGAGAAATATGTTCAAAGGATCAGAGATGCTCCTTTTCACAAAGCGGGAGCAGAGGAATCAGACATGCTACAGGTCTAATATAGTTCAGGGGTCGACAATGCAGGCCAGACAGTTCAGGGGCCGACCATGTAGCCAGCGGTGGCGGCAAAGCAGGTCCAAATGCCAACCGCATGGGATGCAGCGGCAGGCCCAGACCTGCAGACCGTTGGGCAGTTTTGCAGGTGCTGGGGGCAATGTACGGGCTTGGCAGAGGCAGGACCAGGTGATGCAGGAGCAGGCAGCGCCCTGACCACTGGCGGGATGGCAGCCACAGGCGGTGGAACTGGTGATAGTGGCACTGCCAGTGACGACATAGGTACTGCTGATGGTAGAGTATGAGGTGGCTGAATGAATTCAGAGCCATCAGCGGACACAAGGATGTGCTGGAGCGGTTCTCCTGAACCTGAACTGGAAGATGTGAATAAACATTGGGCATGCGTGGAACTGCTCTGGGGTTGGAAGTCTGTGATTGGACCTTGGAGTGTCCATCCTAAGTGGGTTTTGACTGCTGCAGGAGATCCAAATGGTCCATGTCTAACTGGTGCAATAGGCGTAATAAGGTGGGTATGATCAGAGCCTATGAGCAGTAGTGGAACTGCTTTGTTAATGAAGGTTAATGGGATACCTTGAAGATGCTTGTATCTCCGTTGAAGAGAGGATACGGGGTAGGTGTGGTCTGAAAGTGCTAAGTGACTTGTAGCGAAGGCATTGTTAATTGTGTAAGTTTTCTCTGGATGTGCGATGGGAGAAATCTGGAAACTTACACAAGAACCTTGAATGGTTTCATCTTCTTGATGGACAGTTCTGAGTGATAATTTTTCAGCTTTCCCGGTTAGGTGGAGATGCTTAGCTGCAGATGTCAGAAGCATGGTACGTTGGGAGCCATCGTCAAGTATTGCATATGTTTCCAGGGTTCTTTTGCCATTACGCAGGAGCACTTTCACAACCTTTAAAAGGACACTAGGGCGATCGCTAGGTCTATCAAAGTACAGTGTCCTCACTACAGGATTAGTTTCAGTTCTAGATCTCTGATTCACCTCACATAGGATCTGTAGATGTCTTTCCATGCAGGTGGCACATGCTTTCCTCAGATCACACTTCGCAGCCTGATGAGTTCTAGCACAACGCCAGCACCGTTTGTTTCTCCTTATCCAGTTTATTTTCTCATCCTTTGTCTTGTTAATGAACTCGGGGCACTTGCTAATGTGGTGTTCAGGTGAGCAGCAATATGCACATCTAGCCTTAGTCATTATGATGGGTTGTGCTGCCTGTACAGGATCGGATGCATTTGTCCCATGTAATATTGTTGTGAGTGGAGAGGTGTACTTATGGGCAGGTCGTGGCTGGTTAAAGGATGAAACAGGACTGTCCTTTCTTGGTTGACACTTGCACTCTATTTGCAACCAGGATGAGAACAAAGGTAAGTCATACATCGTATCTCCTTGTTCCCTGTAAATGTGCCGTTTGAAGCGACTGGAATGCTCTGCGGGCAACTTTTCAAGTAGGCGATCGACATGGGAGCCACAATTTAGTTCTGTCCGTCCTTGATCACCCATAGTGCTAAGCAAACCAACTAAAGCTTGCACATGAAGAGCAAAGTTATCCAGAGTCGACATCACCTGCTCTGATAGGAGGAAGCTCCAGTATATTCCGTAGCTCTTTCAATGCTAGCTGTCTTGGTTGCCCATAACGCTCATCAAGAGCTTTGATGGCTTGAGTGTATGGGTCAGGAGCATAGGAAAAGGAAATAGCTAACCGTTTAGCTTGGTCTACTTTCAGATGATCAAGAAGGACATGATATTTGAAATGCTCTGTGTCATGAGGGTCAAGCAGGTTAGTAAGGGCCATTCGTAACAGCCTATACTGGATTTCGTCTTCTCTACTAAGGTCTGGGAAAGAAGGACCCTCAAGTTTATACACATGTGTTCTGGTGCTAACAGGGTGACTAGAACTAGCAGTAATGGGTACTGAAGGGTTTTGTGCATGCAAACCATCAGATGTAGCTGGTTGCTGCTTTACAGGAGGGTGCTGCCTTGGTTCCGGAATGCAAACGAGAGGTTGAGCGGGTCTTCATCTAGAGGAACAGCAGGTTGAACACATGAAATCTGGTGGGACCTTGCACGTGGCGTGGCCAGGAAATAAAAGGAGTCTCATCTGGTGTCTGAAAAACTGGTCTAGGCAAACCACTTGAAGGAACTGCAGCATCTAATATTGTTGAATTAGGGAAAGGAGGGCTAGCAGCCAGAACTGCACCAGAGTGACGGCTAACCTGGGGGGGCTGAGAGTGTGATTGACATGTTGCTGGATCAATCACTGGGAACTGCTCATGTTGCTGATGTGTTTGGGGAATGGCTTGTAAACCGCAAACAGAGGATTTGCTCTCATCAGAGACAGTATGAATTGAAGATCTGGAGGAACTGTGAGAATGGGGAGGAGATAACTGAATCATGAATTGCCTAATCTCCCTCATTGTCATCAGGAGTTCCCTCATCACCTCAATCAATCAATCAAAGCTTTATTCGTCACATGCAGGTTGCCCTGCAGTGAAATAGGACCCCCCCGACCTTACACATATAGCACAAACATTACATGGGGATACAGGTCAGAGATTGGTAGAATCAGAAAAAAACATTGAAATGTACACTACACTGGGGAAAGTACAAGAGGAAAAAAAGAGACCCCTACTCATGCTATGCTTCCATGGTAGGACAGCATGAGAACAGGAAACAAAAAAACTCCTCTGCACAAGAAGCACATAAATGTCCACAGCACAACATTGTGAAGACATGATAAGCCACAGGGGTGGGTGGGGGTTGAGGAGTAATCCGAAGCGAACACAGCAGCCACCCTGCACAGCGCTACCATTCCAGCGCGGCACACAGACCCGCTGTGCTGCCCCTTCAGGAAACAAGCATCGAAGGCGTTTGGAAGGGAGGGGGGATGAGTGTGTGCTTATCAGTGTAAGTGTATGTGTGTGCGTGTCCAGAGTTCAGCGGAGACAGTGTCCTTCGCTCTATCAGGCTAAGTAAACAGTCTGCCAGCCAACCCAGGTGGCCTTCATGGGACGGGAAGAATAGTCATCACACAGTCGTTATCAGGGAGTTGTTTTGGTGGGCTCCAGCCTTGGGCCTGCAGCTGGCGCCGTGGTGTCCGAATGTTAAATATTGTTAATTTCTGTTTTGTGAGCAGCTCGAATTTTAGCACTCTGAGACAGGTCCCTCAACTTCGCGTTGAAGAGCTGCGAGCCTCCCCATGATGGTATCAAACTTCAGTTCCAAGGTGTTGTCAGTCTTTTGATTCTGAGACTTCACAACTGCAGTGATCCGTTCCGCGATGTTTTCCAACTGTCGCTCAAGGGTGTCATTTTGAGCAGGCCTTTCTCTGATGTTTCCCCTCATACGCTCAATGGTGTTGTTTTGAGCCTTCACAGCAGCAGTAAGCGTCTCCAAGGTGTTGACCATATTACGTTCGTTGTGAGAGGTCGCACCTCGTCCCGCGCTTCGAATCCAGCGGGCAGCCATGTGGGGGTTTTAACAGCCGGTTCCGCTCTCTTATTTCTCCGATAAAGCAGGGCTAGGCCAACGCCGATCAGCATGAACCCTGTTATCATGGTTCCGAATAGGTAGATATCTTCAGCGTCCTCGATCGACAGTCCCGCCAGGCACACGGTCCTCCAGTTCTGCCACCCGTCCATCGTGTAACCGGCAGGGAAAGTCCCTCCAGGGCACTCAGGCTCTCCCGAGCCCAGACTTCTCGTTGAGAAAAGGGTGTCAATAGCACTCAGGGACCAGTTGATCAAATCCATAATTCTCTTTTAGGTTTAGAGAACGACAGTGAGAGGCTGTTCCAGGGAAAGTAATGCACGCAAGACAGGACAAGGACATAGAGGCTAAGCAGGGAAGATAAGGGTGAGGAGGAGAGGAGAAAGTGCGACCGCCTTCGCTGAGAGCTCATCTTGATTGGTGGGTAAAGGAGCAGGGGATGTCTCTGGTTGTCTTTCTGACTCTCCGACAGGATCCTGCAGCCCATGTGTGTCTTTGTCACTATGTTGGCATTCTGTTTGACTCTCTGTCTCACATGTAGCTCTTCTAGCTCCAGGATACTGAACGTCATACTGCTGCAGGTAGGCAGGAGGTCGACTATCACGAATGGATCTTCTCAAACCTTCAGTCAATGGCTGCTTTGAATCCATGACGCTAATACCACTCCGGCTCGGAGGACCATGTTTTGAAGGAAGGAAGGTTCAGGGCTTAAGCAATCAGCATCATGGGCTCATCCGGTTAGAATAAGAATAAGCAGTCATCTAATTATTCTCAGGGTTTTCCTTTTATTCTCCAAATCAATAAGGCAAAGAAGGAAGGAAAGAAAGACACACATGGACTGCTCTCTCTAAAAAGGACATAAAGTACGATTTAAGTAACTCAAAATGACACATGAACTCAGGAGACTCAAAGAGAAACTCACCTCAGCTGCCGCCCCATGTGGGAGTGAAGAAAGAGTGAGGGGTAGGTGAGTGCAGTCCTTATATAACGAGTGACAGGTGAGTGCAATTAAGGCCAAGCACCACACCCAATCAAAGGTGAGGAAAAGAAACAAGGTGCATCTGGTGAAGTGAATGTGCTGAAAGGTGAGCCTTTACAACATCAAGATTGCTTTTTAATGTTTGGAAGAAAATCATTTGCAGTCAGTGCCTGCCAGCACTCAGCTAGGCATAACCAAATGTTGCTTTTCCCATATGTTTTGGGTTATTATCTATTTGCAGTGTAAAGGGTCCACTCCTTTTTACAACATTTGGCTGAATCTGAGCAGGGAGTATAACTCCGTATACCTCACAATTCATCTTGTGGCTTCTATCAGCAGTCACATTATTAACAGCGAGCCAGCTCCACTGACAGTCGTACAGGCCTGTGCCATAATGTTGCCTCCACCATGTTTGACGGATGATGTCGTCTGTTTCAGATCATGAGCTATGTCTCCCCTTCTTCATACTTTTCCTAACCTGTTGTTCCAGTTTCCTAGTGTAACTAGTGGTTTTCATCTTGTTCTAAACCGTCTGGATTTACATTTATGAAGGCATCTCGTGATTGCAGACCTCGACAGTGATACAATCAAGAGTGTTCTTGGTTCTTGGTCAAGTTAATTATCCAGGGACTTTTGAGTCTCTGAACATGGAGAACTATGCATAAAAAATTACTGTAATTTCTAAACAGATAATGTAATATTCTGATTAACCCCCTGAATTTAACCTGAAATTCAAAACTTCAGTCACAGCTTGATTTATTTTTCATTTAAAATCCACTATAGTTGTATACAGCGGTAAAGTCACACAACCTCTGTAACTGTCCAAATACTTGTGGATCAGAGTGTAAGTAAGTGTATTTGGTAAATTATTGCTACAATTCATTTATTCTAGTTTAAAAAAGATGTCTTCTGAATTCACCAGTGATTACTAGTAAAAAAAAAAAAGACAAGAAAAAAACATGTCTTTCTTTTCAGAAGGACAGGTGGCATAAGGAGCAGGTACGTTTTAGGTTAAAGCGGGCACACGACTCTCTTCGAACAGACTTTTTCACCGTTTTCCATTTAAAAAAATGTTTTGAATGTGTAAAAAGGGATGAGAAATAACTCATTTATTTCTCACAGCGAGAATCAGAATGTGTTCATAAAAAAAATTATTTGGCTCTGACGTGCGCTCGGGGGGTGGAACCTGTATCACGAGTCCTGTTACGCAAGCAGGAAGACTGTTTTTTCTATAGCCAGAAGAAACTCTAGTTTTCATCACGCGCAGCAGAGGCCTGTGAGTATAAAGCGGTCTGCAGTGTTTTGTTTTGCAGACAGAAGCTCCGCGTGGATTCTTTGTTATTGGTTATTTATGTGCAACGTCATGAACTTTACTGCAGTAAAATGGCTGTTCTGAGTTTTGGTGCAGGAGGGGTTGGCCTTCGTTGATTATCTGATGTAATGATAAGTTTCGTTTGTGCCTCGCAGCTTCATTCGCGTCAGTCCCATCATGGCCGAAGTGGACGAGTCTCAGTTTTCTATCATGAGTCTGGAGGATGAGCTGACCTGCAGCATCTGTCTGAGCACCTTTGACTGTCCGGTGACCATCCCCTGCGGACACAACTTCTGCCAGGACTGCCTGCTCGCCAGCTGGGAGGACTCGTACAGCTGCCCTCAGTGTCGAACGGTGTTCGACACCAAACCCGAGCTGAAGAAAAACACGGTCCTCATCGCCGTCGTGGAGACCTTTAAATTGAGATCGAGCAAGAGCGAAGACAACCTGAATGAAGAGGAGAGCGAAGAGGAGAGAGGCTATGAGAGCGAAGAGGAGAGAGGAGAGGAGAGCGAAGAAGCGAGCGAAGGGGAGAGCGAAGAAGCGAGCGAAGGGAGAGCGAAGAAGTGAGCGAAGAGGAGAGAGAAGAAGAAAGCGAAGAAGAGAGCGAAGCGGAGAAAGACGATGTCATCCGCTGTGATACCTGCATGGAAGCAGAAGCATCGAAGACCTGCCTCACCTGCATGGCGTCTTACTGTGAGGAGCACCTGCGCCCTCACCGGGAAAACCCCGTCTTCCATCTCCACGAGCTGAGCGAGCCTGTCGGAGACCTATCGGAGCGCATCTGCTCCGACCACCACAAGCTGATGGAGTTCTTCTGCAGCCAGCATGACCGTCTGATTTGCAGCTTCTGCCTCCAGCATATCCACAAAGGATGCTCCTTCTTAACTCCGGAGGAGCAGAGGAACCTGAAGGAGGTGTGTTTGCATTCACATTGACGATTATACTGTATTAAACACTGACTTATGTACAGAGTTAACTGTTTCTCCTTAATTCATACATGTTTTAACTTATTTAATTTGTAATATTATAAAGCAATATGTTGGTGTGTATATCTTTAAACAAAGATGACAGTCAGCTGACTTCCTGGAGAGGAAACATTCCATCTGTATAAAAAAGATGGAAGTGGGTTCATACCTGAAAAGGGACCCTTGTGTACAACTGTTTGTAAATGACAGCCAAGTTCAAGTCTTCCTTGCTTTAACAAGTTTTTCTTAGTGTTGTATGCCAGGCATTGAGCTGTGTCTGCTTTGATCTCAGGCTGTATATTTAACACCACTGCTTTAGGCTGATGGATCAGGTTGTATTACACTTCTTTTTCCACAATATCTGATTCAATGACTTTGGCCCACACATCTCTAGTCAAGGCAACACTAGAAACAGATAAGAATGACCTCATTATAAATAAAGTTTAACAATTCTGCCCCTCCCTTCCTTCCCTCCCCATCTCCAGCTGCCTCCCTCTTCCCGCTCCTCCACAACCACCCACACATGCAGGGCCTTGGAGTAGGGGTATGTCACCAGGGTGCAGAGGAGGCTACCCCCCCCCCCCCCCCCCCGTCCCCTTCTGGCTGCCTCTGCCTCAATTTTATCCCACAACTTAGACATTCACATTATTCACACTCTCATTACACATACATATAGGATCTTGGGGGTGGGCACAATCACGGAGTCCAAATTACCATCAGGGTGTATACCTCACCCCTGGCGTCGTTGCCCACCTCTCAATTTTAAATACACTTAGTCATTGAGGGTTAGCAGGAGGGACTATGCGCTTACCTGCTGCTCCTTGGCAGGTAGCTCCATGCCCTCCTGGGTTTTAATTGCACCTTAGAACACATATGCATCAACACTACAATGAGCGGGTGGAGTGAGGTTTGGAGTCTTCTCCCACCCCCATTCTCTGCGGCCTGCTGGAGCGGGGGCTAGTAGGAGGAGTTGGCCGTCCGACTGCGGTCTGGGGTGTGGGGCCTCCCTGCTGCTGCGGAGTCGGGGTGGTCTGCCTCTCCCCACCGCAGGGAAAAGGGTAACACCACCTGGGTCTGGGTGCAGTTCCCCCTCCAGGGGCAAGGGTACCTAGACCCGGTTTGTAGAGTACGCTTGGGGAGTGTGATCGTGTGTACAGCGTCTCTTTATGTCTGTCTCCACGTTGGTTGAGTGTGGAGTAAGTGCATATGAGAGCATGAGAGTGGGAATGGATGTTTGTGTCTGTGTGTGCCTGTATGTCTGTGTCTATATGTCAGGTTGGGTATCAGACGCCACCTCTCTGGGGACACCTCAGGCCCTCCAAGGTTTGGAGGCCTATCTCCACCCCACCACTTCCCCTGCCGGTGGTGGACTCCCTCAGGTGTCGGTGTGTTGGTGGTTCTTTGTGTCTGGGGGTGGGCGTCCGGGTACACACCGGCTCACTCCTTGGCGGCCGCTTGTCGGGGCCTGGGCCTGGGGCTCGCTCGGGCCCCTTTGGAGGTGGGGTGCCCCCGGCCTCTCGGCCTGGGGCTCGGTCACTCAGGCACAGCTGGGGCCGGCGGAGCTCACGGCGCGTCACTGCAACTCCTCCTGACTTCTGCTCCGCGGCTGCTGGGCGAGCCCTCATCTGGGACTCTCCTCAGCTCTTACTGGAACAGTGGCGCGGCTGCCCCTCTGTTGGTCTTCCATGGTCTCTTGTGTTCTGGGGGCTCTGGATGTCTGGAGTTTTGATCTCCTCCATACCCGCTTCACACCCTGGAGGACGGGGCTGTGGCCCCCCCACACTCCCTAACAGATCATTACATGGAGAAACCTTTGGAATGCAAGCATGCTGATCCACACAGGTATGCACACATGGGTATTCACAGACGCGGACTAAAGCTTTCTTGGCTGCTGCCTCAAAGCACACTGTGCGCTGTCTATCTTGCGTGCTGCACAATATCGTTTATTATTTAGTAAATATTGATATCTATGACTAGCTAGTTTATTGTGATGGTGCTTTGTTTTCTTTATTATTATGTTGCTCTTTGTTGTTTGCTGTCTCCTCTGTTTGTTTTTTTTGTTTTTTGTTTTTTTTTTTTCTCCATACAGGTGACCCAGGAGTTCTTTTTTTTTTTCTCTCTCTTCCCCCCCCTTCTCACCGTCTCTTCTCCCTTTGGTTTTCTTTCTTTCTCTCCCCCTCTTTCTCTCATTCATTCCCCTGTCCTATTTATTAAAAAAAAAAAAAAAAAAGACAAAGGATGAACTGAAGCTCTGCCATCACGTAATGTCGCATACTGCTGTTTCTGATGTCATTTAGAAAAAAAAAAAAAAAAAAAAAAAGTTTAACAATTCAAAATATTTCCGCATGTAAGATGTAGTGGAAAAATGAAATAATGGAATAATGCAGATGGTGGACATGCAGTCAAAGCATTACTTGCAAAGTTCTCCAGGCCCTCTGAGCAGTGTCTGTATGGAATTTGTGCACTTAAGCTGTTCTGTGTCTGTTCTTATAGTCTGACCTCAGAGACAAGTTGGGTTTGCTGAATGAGAAAATGGAGAAGACTGAAAATGTTGTGTTTCAAATGAACAACATGCAGAGTATGCTGAAGGTAATTTCCACATGTCATACAGAGACAAAGTAAATGTGCTGGCAGTAACTATGAAAAACTCACTGTTGTCATATCTTATTGTCACTGTTCCAGGATGGAGCAAACAAAAGAAAGACGGCACTCGCAGCTGTCTATCAGCAGATGAGGGACATCTTGGCTCAAGATGAACGCGAGGCCCAAACTGAGGTGGACCGTGAGCTGGAGCTCGGTCAGATGAAACTTCGGGATCTCACAAAGAAGTTCGACGAAAACTATAATAGGATGGGAAAAGCCAGAGAAGATATCAACAGGCTGATGAGTCAATCCCAAACCTCGGCTTTTCTACAGGTGAGACGAACACCCGTGGAAAACTTAAACTAAAGAATAAGATAGAATGGGCGTGGTTAAGTTAAATAATTAGGAAGTTTAAATAAAAACCTTTCTTTTGCCCCCCACAGGCTTCAGTTGTGTTGCCCAAAGTTGTAAAGTTTGAGCCTCACGTGCCTCGAATCAATCTGGACTCCAAGAAGGTGATAGCGACGCAGAGCTTTGCTGCAGCCCTGAGGGAGACTCTGATGGAGATGCTTAAACAGCCAGTTGAGGCCAGATTACCATTCTTTAAAGCAGGTCTGTGTGCAGGCACGCATTAGCAGAAAATTTAAATTTGGATTAATATTCTAAAAGATTAACGAAGCCAATCATTTTCACGTTCTGATGCAGATCTTAACACTGGTGCATTTGGGGATTCTGGTGAGTTTCTGTCTTGTGGAAAATACTGTTGAGGATTTTCTGTTAAATGCTCATGAATTTATTCTTCTTCAGTGGTGACTATTTCTTGGGAAGTATTTTGGGAAGCACTCTTTAAATGTAACCTTTGTTTTTAACAGGTGAAACAGCAGCTCCTGTCTCCAGACCAGAAAGTGCTGGAGGTAGTGAATCCCAGCCAAATTCTGGTAAGTTTATATCAGCGAGGAGTTATTATAGGATGATATTTGAATACAGTAACATGTGAACTGAAAGAGTATCTGAAAACATCTGCCAATATGACTATCTCCTAGTGTGATACAGGTATTCACTGTAACTATAATTTTAAAGACGATCTCATGTTAATAATACACGTACGATAACGTGGTCTTGTTGTACAGCTATAATTACTGACTACACCTCCCTGCACTTGTTATTTGAGTGTATTTGCAAGAGAAGGCACACTGTGTAAAAAAACGTATATTACATTTTTATTTAAAATACTGCAAATCATATTGTAATATCGTTAATTTCCTTCCTCAAGCACATACATGAAAACTATTTAAAACATTACAAGCACTTTGTGACACGTGATTCTTTACAGTGTGATAAAGATGTTCAGAGTGCGTTCTCATTTCACTGTTTCATTACTCAGCAGCGCCTCAGCAGAGAAGCAACCCCTCGTTCCAAAGTCCACTGAGCAGTCCACCCATCCAGCCGTACTACCAGCCGGTTCCCATCCCCGTTTTTATTAGACCACAGCAAAGATGGAATCCACCCCATTATCCACAGACCCAACCTCGATTGCAACATTTTGGGCAACCTCGATTTTATGCCCAACAAAACACAAGTAAGATACAACCTAAAATCTCTCTCTTACACACACACGTCTGTAATGACAAAAATCATATATGTCTGTGTAAACAGCTTAGTCTCCAATCACCACAAACGGGACAATGTGTTAATTAATTGGTGCCCTAACAGCTAATTAAAAATTCAATGACACATAATACCTACCCTTTGCAAGCCAGCTTATAAATGATAAAAGACAGAAGCAAGATGAAGCCCCATTTTTTTAATAAACAGTATAAGATTTATCCAGGATATGACTTGTTACACACATTGAAGGAACACCTTTGTTTTATTTCAGCCTGATATGAAATCACATCTACTAAAAGTCAGTGTGCTTAAGGCAAACTCGATCAATCTGATAGTGCATTTAGTGTTTTAACAACTTACCACTGGGCATGTCTCTGTTCTGAAAGACAACCATGATCGCGCAGTCAGTTAAACATGTGAAGAAGGTCTGTGAAGACCTAGACAGGGATTGGTTCTAAAATTACCTTACTTCATCGCCCATACTCACCCAGAAGCTTACGGACATTTGTAGATGTCCTTCATGGTTTGGCAGTAATAGAATGCAGCTAGGCACTTTTACAAGCTATTAGGCACACTTTGAGGCCGAGTCCTCCCATAACCAGTAAACCCATCATAAATTATTTAAACTTTCAAAGTATAAAAGACACATGTCAAAACGAGCCTTGTGCCAAAGTGTTGTCTTCATTCCTGGCAGTCATTATTAAGATTGAGGTCATAAACTGATCGACCGTAACATTAAAGCCAGTATTGTGTAGATCCTCATTGTGGTGCAAAAGCAGCTCTGACACATTTGTGTTTGCTGTGGCGTCTGGAAAGATTCAGCTTGTTCATGCAGATGCTCAGCTGGATTTTGGTCTGTGGAGTTTGGAGTTTAAGTCGATGGGCTGAACTTTATTATGTTCTTCAATCTGCTCCTAAGCAGTTTTAAAGGTGTGGCAAATCTTCCTGGTGGGGGAGACCACTGCTGATGGGGAGTGCTGTTGCCATGATGAGGAGTGCTTACTCTGAAATGTTTAGGTTGGTTGGCGCACGTCAAAATAATATCCAAATGAATGTTTGGACCCAAAGTTTAAGAACACTCAATTGATTAACTGCAATAAAAAGCACACCATTGATAACAGTGATAAGTCCTCATAAAAAAAAGAGGAATTATGGATTTGATCAACTGGTCCCTGAATGAAATTGACACCCTCTTCTCAACGAGAAGCCTGAGCTCAGGTGAGTCTGAGTGTCCTGGAGGGACTTTCCCTGCTGGATACACGATGGACGGGTGGCATAACTGGAGGGTCGTGTGCCTGGCGGGACTGTCGATCGAGGACATTGAAGTTATCTACCTTTTCGGAACCATGATAACAGGGTTTTTGCTGATCGGAGCTGGCTTGGCCCTGGCTTATCGAAGATTAAAGAAAGCGGAATCGGCTGTTCAAACCCCCACAAGGCTGCCCGCTGTGATTGAAATGATGGGATGAGTCATGCGTTCTTAAAATGGGCTCATTGAGCGCAGCACGGATAAGATCTTGGAGAAGCTTGAGGCTGCCGTGAACGCTCAGAATAAGACCTCTGAGCGAAAATTGGATTACATCCTTGAGAAGCTCACAGCGGTCGTGAGTTCTCAGAATCTGCTCTTTGAGTGCAAGAATGATAACATCATGGAGAAGCTCACAGCTCTCCAACGGGAGATTGAGAGACCAGTGTCGGACTGCTAGAACAGCTTTGAAATTCCAATGAGTTGTTTGCACTAAAGTAAAAACCACCATTATTTCATGCGGCTACCACTTCAGCGCCAGCTGTGGTCTCAAGGCTGGATCTGAACAAAAAACTCCCTGATAACAGACTGTTCTTCCTATCCTACGCAAGGCCACCGGGGTTGGCTGGAAGACTGTTTACTTAGCCTGGCAGGGCAAAGGACACTGTCTCAGCTGAACTCTGGAGACACACACAACACATACATACATATGCAGATATCCTTCCCCGGATCCAACGCCTCCTGCCATGCTTACCTCCCTGTCGATGGAGACAGCGGCTCAGCTGGAGGCGCGAGGAATTGCAGCGTCTGCGACCACTGTGTACATTACAGTTCAGTATGCCGTGCGTGTCTGCAGCAGTCCTCAACAGTGAAGTTAACAGCAGCAGTAACCAAAGTTC